AAAAAAAAAAAAAAAAAAAAAAAAAAAAGAAATATACTCTAACACAATAAAACTTAGACATTATTATCTTGCATCTACTAAATAAAAAGTATTTACAGTTTTTACAACTTACTATCTCTCTCATCTCAAGAGATTCTAAGTTTTAGACCATGCTAATATTTCTCGTTTCTCATTAGTGTTTTCAAGATTTGGCAAACCAGATGAAGTTTTTATTTCTCTGTCTCATACTTATTTTTTCTGTGATCAGCTTCAGATAAACCAGTCGATCATTTTCTGTAACTCCTCTCAGCGAGTTGAATTGCTAGCCAAGAAGATTTCTCAACTGGGTTATTCTTGCTTCTATATTCATGCTAAAATGAGGCAGGTGAGTATAAAACTAGAACTTGCACAAATTTAACAAGAAATCTCTTTTTTACTTTGTTTTAATGTACTTCCAAATGTCCTGAGTTTAAGAATAAACTGTTGCTTAGTAGCCAAAGGACCCTTCATTTTGACCTCCCTGGGGTCAATTTTCTTTTTTTTGTTTTGGTTTGGTTTGGTTTGTTTTTAGAGATGGGGTCTCGCTATGTTGCCCAGGATGGAGTGCAGTGGCTACTCACAGACGCGATCTCACTACTGATCAGCATGGGAGTTTTGACCTGCTCCGTTTGTGAACTGGGCTGGTTCACCCCTCCTTAGGCAACCTGGTGGTCCTCCGCTCCCCAGAGGTCACCATATTGAAGCCGAAGTTAGTGCTGACACCTGATCGGCATAGTGCACTACAGCCCAGAACTCCTGGACTCGAGATCCTCCAGCCTCAGCCTCTCAAGTAGCTGGAGTCCCAGGCACGTGCCACTGCGCCCAGCTGTTTTGTTTTGTTTTTGAGATCAAGTCCTGCTCTGTCGCTCAGGCTAGAGTGCAGCGGCGTGATCTTGGCTCACTGCAACCTCTGCCTCCTAGGTTCCAGCAGTTCTCCTGCCTCAGCCTCCTGAGTAGCTGGGACTACAGGCGTGTGCCACCATGCCCAGCTAATTTTTTTTTTTTTTTTTTTTTTTAAAGTAGGGACAGGTTTTCTCCATGTTGGCCAAGCTGGTCTCGAACTCCTGACCTCGTGATGTGCCCGCCTCAGCCTCCCAAAGTGCTGAGATTGCAGGGGTGAGCTACCGCACCGGGCCTGAGGTCCAATTTTCTAGCAATAAAATCGGGATAATAGTACATAATTCATAACTTACAGGGTTGTTAAGTTGCTTCGGCAGCACATATACTAAAATTGGAATGATGCAGAGAAGATTAGCATGGCCCCTGTGCAAGGATGACACGCAAATTCGTGAAGTGTTCCATATTTTTTTAAAAAGAAAAAAAGACATGAGTATTTTATAAGCCATCAAGCATGATACAAATGTAATATTTTATTCTTTCCTTCCTTCCTCTGTCTGATACGGTGCAGTAACCACTAGCCATATGTGGCAATTTAAATCAGTTAAAATTAAATTTAAAAGTCAGTTTGTCAATCACAGCCACATTTCAAGTGCTCAGTTATGCACCTGTGACTGCTGGATCATTGGAAGTATAAATGAAGAATATTTCCTTTATTACAGAAGTTTCTACTGGACAGCACTGCTCTTCATTTTTAACTAAATATGGCCCCTCAACTGACTGATTTTTTTTTTCTTTACTGTTTGCCTTTAGAAAAAGATGGAATGTCTAAATTTCAGAATTTGGTTTAACAAAAAATAATTTAAAACTATAGGCTGAGGGCCGGGTATGGTGGCTCACGCCTGTAATCCAAGCACTTTGGAGGCCAAGGCAGACGGATCACCTGAGGTCGGGAGTTCAAAACCAGCCTGACCAACATGGTGAAACCCGGTCTTTTTAAAA